GTTTAGTATCATCAGCAAACTTGCTGAGGGTGCACTCTGTCCCTTCCTCCAGGTCATTGATGAATATATTGAACAAGACTGGGCCCAGGACTGACCCCTGGGGGACACCACTAGCCACAGGCCTCCAACTTGACTCTGCGCCATTCACCACAACCCTCTGAGCTCGGCCATCCAGCCAGTTCTCAATCCACCTGACGGTCCACTCATCTAGCCCATACTTCCTGAGCTTACCTAGGAGGACGTGATGGGAGACAGTGTGAAAAGCCTTGCTGAAGTCCAGGTAGACAACATCCACTGCTCTGCCCTCATCTGTCCAGCCAGTCCTTCCATCATAGAAGGCTACCAGGTTGGTCAAGGAGGGAGGTGTGAGGCAAGCTGAGAAGAACTTTGCATAATGCTTCCCGGAGTCCACACAGGTCGTGAAGTTCTGGCACTGATTTCTCTTCAGGAGCAGTCTATGCTTATGAAGGCTAACAACCTGCATTTTGAGGCTTTGTGTTCCTTGCCACGTTTTCAGTAGATCAGTAGAGATGACTTTTGGCCCTGATGATGATTTTCAGGCTGTTGGTTTCGGTAACCTTTTCCGAACCTAATCTTTTCCTTTACTTTTTTGGACGTTCTTTCTGTAATTGTAGTCTGAAGTAGAATATATTGGGTTAATTCCTCCTGTGCAGCCCTGCCTCTCTCATTGATGCTCCATGCAGAATTGAACAGTTGCTTACTGCCATTCTGTGGGGACACTGGAGCTAATCTTCAGTGACTTCCAACCTTCAGCTTTCTTCTTCACATCTGCAGGTCTCCTGTAATCAGAGAAATATCTGCAGTAGGTTTCCACAAACTAGCATCTTTGTCAACTGACAACCTCCCTTTTCCTTTTTCACTTTTTGTGTTAGCAGTTGTGGAATTTCCTGTATTTACCCAGGAAATACATTTGCAACGAGTCTGTCTACCCCTTAATTTCACATCAAAGTAATATTTCTTTGTGGATTGAAAAGTTCCATTTAATGAGATTTGATCTGATCCTCCTCTTTCCTCTTGCTCTGACCCACTTCCAAACTCTGGGTGCCTGGACCATAATGAACTTTGAGAGGTATAGACTTTTACTAGCACTTGCATTTCTATATTGGAGGGAGTCACTTGTTTTTCCAGCTCTTAGAAAGCAGTCTCTTTGTGCCTGTCCCTTCAATAATAAGTTTTGAGGAAATCTGTGAATTTATGACAGATCCCTCTCTCTTCTCTCTTTTGCAGCATTGTTTCTGCATAGGTTATCCCCAAGATTTTGCCCAAAGTCTTGACTGAATTCACACATGTCTTTCATTTTTGATAGCTGACTTTTTTACAGGTGTCCTGTTTTACTTCTCAGAGTCTTCCTCCCTAATATGTAAGTGCTTCATGCATTATAATATAACATTGTATCTGCCCTTCCACATGCAGCAAGTAAAAACTTCAAGAAATCTTCATCTTCTTGTGCACACAGTCTATATGTTTTACAGCTTGTTCAGATTCCTCAGTTGATTTAAAAAATTGTCAAACTACACTATAAACCTGGTAAATGTAGCTCCTTCCCTCACCAAAGGTAATCATACGAGACTGGTAGTCACTTGCTTTTATAAACAGTATTATCAGAAATCTCTAGACTTGGTACTGCTTTTGGTAAGGACACTTCTTTAGAATCACCTGCAGTATGAAAGTGCATATTAATAAGCACTAGGAAAAAAAGGAAAATATTTGCCTGTAACAGAGGTTTGAAGTCGCTTGTATAGCTGTGGATTACATTCTTCCTTTCCCTTTTTTGGATATATTTTGATTCTGTGATGAAGGAAAATAGAGGGTTGAAAGGCATGATGTGAAGGTGATGTCCTCCAGCAGCAGAGCTTAAGGCATAATGAAGCTATAGTGTAACTCTGTTCAGAAGTTTTTATATATA